ACCCCCCTCGCAAATGCGACAGAAACGAAGAGAAAAGTGACAGTTTCAGTTCCGTCGCCAATAAAAAAAAAAAAAAAAAAAAAAAATCATTATACTCCGATGTAGTGAGGAAGGAATAGGAAAAAAATAAACAGCTCATCGGCTGTCGCGATGTTGTACATCGGACAGAGCTTGTCAGTCGCGTTTTATCGTTACGACAGAGAGAGAGAGAGAGAGAGAGAGAGAGAGAGAGAAAAATTCTGCGAAAATTACGTGCTCAATCGAGACGAAAGGGTTGTGCAAGCGCGCGAGAACGAGAGAGGGGAATTCCAAGCGGTTCTCCGACAGACTGGAAAACGACATCATCCTTACGGAGCTGCGAGGCTCTATTTCCCCGCTCCCTCGGTAATTAGGTGCCAACTAACGACAAGGTTATTTAATTGGAACGAGATAACTGCTATATATATGTACGTATATACAGCTTATACACAGCGTATGGGTGTTCGTTATGGCATCGCCGAGTCTATTTTTCCTTTATTCTTTTTTTTTTCCCTCCCATCTCTCGGCGTGTTTGGTAGGGGTGAAGAAGACTTGGTTCCGCTGCAGCTTTGAGGCGGGAAATCGGATGACGATGTCGTGTAATGCGCCTTGTATTGTGGAAAACGAATGATTTGATTGCTTGAGACGATTTTGGTGGCGGATTCGGTGTGCTTTATGACAAATTGCTGTTTTTTGGTACGCAGTAGTTTGAGTCAATGTACGAGGCGACATTGTGATTTTCTTCGTTTTTTTTCGGTAAAAAGTAGTGCGAGTCAATGTACGGGGCGACAATGTGATTTTCTTCGTTTTTTTTCGGTAAAAAGGAGTACGAGTCAATGTAAGGGGCGACATTGTGATTTTCTTCGTTTTTTTTTCGGTAAAAAGTAGTGCGAGTCAATGTACAGGGCGACATTGTGATTTTCTTCGTTTTTTTCGGTAAAAAGTAGTGCGAGTCAATGTACGAGGCGACACATGGATTTTTTTTTTTTTTACTTATCGTTGTGCGGAGTTATGATGTACATAATGCGTAACAATGTAATTGTAAATGCGTGAAAACATACGGTACAATGAAAATTGGAAAATATCTTTTTTTTTTTTTTTTTTTNAGCGCTACCACCCGTACAAGAAGCAGCAGCAACAACAACAACAACAACAACAACCGGGTACGTCTCGATGTGACTCTCCACGATGTCCGGTGATGAGCAAAAAAAAAAAGGAAACGATTTATATTATTCTTTACCACGTGTGTAGGGTCAGAGAGTACGGCCAAGTGTCTGACCGCGAGCTCTGGTTGTTCGAACGGGAGCAGCGGCGTGGACGGGGGTGGCAGGGCCGGTGGTAAGCTCAAGCGGGTGCGCACTATTTTCACGGCCGAGCAGCTGGAACGGCTCGAGGACGAATTTACGCGGCAGCAGTACATGGTGAGGAAAAAAAAAAAAATTTATGTATATATTAAATTAAATTTTAAAAAATTGATTTTTAATACTCGTTCGGTATCGGCAGGTGGGTCCGGAGCGGTTGTACTTGGCGCACGCACTTCGGCTGACGGAGGCTCAGGTGAAGGTGTGGTTTCAGAACAGGCGGATCAAGTGGCGGAAGCACAATCACGAGCAAACGAGCCAGAGGCTGCACGAGCTGGTGCTCCACGAGAGGGAGGACAGCAATGAAAACGCGGCCGAGTGGTGATGAGAGGAGAGAGACATCCAATCCTGATGATGAGCTTACCAATCGTACACACATCTCTCTCTCTCTCTTGTTCCTCCTGTTCGAGGATCAATGTACTCTTAATTTTGTTGATTGTTTGATTAAGTATCGTTCGACTATATATTTTTAATCGACCGATTTTGTTTGTTTTTTTACGAATCGTTTTTTTTTTGTTTTAGCGATTCAACGATTTTTATTTCTTAGTATAATTACATACGCACACGTTTATATATATATATATATTGAATGTTAACTCGTCTCTTATGATAAAAAATTATACAAATTACACTGCACAAAATGTAAATTAAATAAATTAGGTGTACAACGATGACGTACCATTATTAATTATACATATAATTGAAAAATCCGAATTAACGAGAAATACGTGTAACGTTAAATAATATATATTCAACATGCAAGAGGTTTTTTTTTTACTTAATTTCGTGGGTGTAAAAGTAATTTATTTATTGAATTTTTTTTTTTTTTTTTCCTTAAAAATAAGCCAATGTAAATGATAAAAATCACCGACAATGTGTGATAGTATACGTGTTATATTTATTGTACGTACGATAATTCATCGATATTTATGTGGTTGCACTTTTTTACACGCATCGTCGCGTCCTGATAGAAATCACGTCGATGAAAGAATATAAAAACGATTTTTGAAGCACCAAAGAACAATCAAATAAGTACTCTTCAATAAACATGNGAAGCAGAGTTTTTAGGTGGAACATTATCGTTGGGCTCATCCTCAAATTCACAAAAATCCTCGACGTTTTCCGAAGCAGAGTTTTTAGGTGGAACGTTATATTTATTGTACGTACGATAATTCATCGATATTTATGTGGTTGCACTTTTTTACACGCATCGTCGCGTCCTGATAGAAATCACGTCGATGAAAGAATATAAAAACGATTTTTGAAGCACCAAAGAACAATCAAATAAGTACTCTTCAATAAACATGCAAGGTATATGTCAGCTCATTCGATTATTCCATTTTTCCACAAAAAAAAATACGTACGTACATACTGATCATAAAAATTTTACAGGTTTGCACATGTATGTTATTGCCACACTATTCAGGAGTGATGCACATTTTAGAGACAGAAAAAACAAGTAAGAAGTAGGAGGATAAAGTTACGCCCGTTGGCTGAAAATGCGTGCAATAAAATTATTTGTAATCTTTGATATCATTGTGTGTATTGATCTATTTCGTTGAATGATGGTTAGATAAAACTGATGTAAAATAAAAAAAAAAGGGGGATGATCGTTAGCTGTAATTTTTTCTTTTGTTTTTATTTTTTTTATTTTCCAACGATACAATTGTTATATGAGATTAGATTTGAATAGCCCGTGTGGTACATCTATACATAATTCGTATACATAAATTACAGCACATACAGAAGAGATGAGAGACCAATTTATGAAAAAACATGTTTCGAGTGTTTTATACAATCACTTGACTTATTGTTTTTTCCCTTCTTTCACATTTGATAGCAGGGATTGAAATAAAAATGTTTTGAAATAATTTAACGAAGCTTTTTCTTGAATTCCAAGCAAACAATTTTTCATTCGTACTTCCCGGGCTTCAACATACACACACATAATAAACCCCCCTCCACTAAAAAAGCACAATGTAACCTAACCTCTGCTTCTCCTCTTCTTTCTCACTCTGTTGTGTGTGTTGTGTGTGTGCTCTTGTAACACTTCAAGTCAATGAAGGGATAAGTACTTTTTACTTTACTTTACCTTATCATCGAAAGAGAGGAAAAAAAATTCGGGATGTGTATATCCCAAAAAGGCAGTGCCTCGTTTTCTTCGTGCTTCAACGTCCTCAAGCTTTTACATTAGGTAGGTATTGTGTGCTTACGTGACTGGAACGTCGTTTAACAAGTTTAGGTATAAAGTGTAGGTGGAAAAGCTCTGAGGCAAAAGGCGCCCGAGACGCCCTGCAGTCGAGTCGTGAAAACGACGTCGACGACGACGACGACCGACAAGAAAACCACGATAAGATAATTAAGAGTTTGGAGAGTCGTCATCAGCTAGAGGCAAAATGTCAGGCTTCGACGAGAACCCCTTCGGCGAGCCCAATGTTAATAACGATCCCTTCGCGGTGAGTGTGTCTCTTTTACTGAATTTCTCCTTATCGATTGCTCTGAATTTTTTTTTCGATCGAGGAACCTCTGGAAGACGTGTATTCACCTCGACATATACTTACCTTACTATAAAACACCTCTTGAATTTGCGTTGCTTTTGACAGTTCCATACGGTAAACGATTCCCCTTATATTCAAATTGATAAACTAAAATCTATCTTGTTGTGATTAAAAATAAAAAAATGTAAGCTGATGATGATGCCAATTTAAAGTATATGTATTTGAGTTAGTTTTTTTTTCTACGATTTACGAGTTTCGATCATGAAAAATAATTACTAGGTTCTGAGTTTTATTTGATTATTGTGTAGTCTGCACACGGTTTTTGAAGTTTTATTATCACAAGCTTTTTTTGCTACTTTCACCAATATTAAGATGTATCATTGAATATTTTCAACTAATTATTTATGACGAGTTCTACTGATAACTGACAAGTAGAACTTTAATGAATACGTCATTGTAGTGTTTTATCTTCTATCTTTTAAAAAGCTCTGTATCTGTTAGTCACCTGAACTTTTATGGGCGTCTTGAGTGTATTTTGTTAATTCATCAATTATGAATGGTATTATCTACATAACTCACATGTAATATTACACACCTACGTAATTTAATTAGCTACAAGCTAAACAAACAGTAAAGAAAAAAGTTTCTAAAGTATTATTAACCAAAAGTTATACAGATGATCTGTTTTTTGTTCGTGCAATATAATTACTAAGAATTTTTATACAATTTTAAATAGGATCCAGCAGTACGTAAGGCAGCGAGTTCTGTTCCAAATAGTGGAATTGATGACTACAATCCATTTGCAAATCAAACTGGAGCTACTGGACCACAAGTTAGAGGAGCTACAAATCCTCCCATTTATGGAGGCACTGCCAATCAACCGAACCAAACTCCATCTTATGGAGGTACAGCTGTTACAGCACAACAGCCTGCTATGCTACAAACCTCGAGCCAAGAAGCTCCACCACCAAACTACACCCGAACTCCACAGCAAAATATTCCTCAGTCAAGCAGTGGGTCATTTTCACCCACTAGTGTGAGTTTTTTTTTTTTTTTTATTGATAAAATGATTATAAAAAATCTTTTTGACCTCAATATGACAATCTACTTCAAAATATTTTAGCAACCACCAAATGAGCCAAAAAATTTATGTATATATTAAATTAAATTTTAAAAAATTGATTTTTAATACTCGTTCGGTATCGGCAGGTGGGTCCGGAGCGGTTGTACTTGGCGCACGCACTTCGGCTGACGGAGGCTCAGGTGAAGGTGTGGTTTCAGAACAGGCGGATCAAGTGGCGGAAGCACAATCACGAGCAAACGAGCCAGAGGCTGCACGAGCTGGTGCTCCACGAGAGGGAGGACAGCAATGAAAACGCGGCCGAGTGGTGATGAGAGGAGAGAGACATCCAATCCTGATGATGAGCTTACCAATCGTACACACATCTCTCTCTCTCTCTTGTTCCTCCTGTTCGAGGATCAATGTACTCTTAATTTTGTTGATTGTTTGATTAAGTATCGTTCGACTATATATTTTTAATCGACCGATTTTGTTTGTTTTTTTACGAATCGTTTTTTTTTTGTTTTAGCGATTCAACGATTTTTATTTCTTAGTATAATTACATACGCACACGTTTATATATATATATATATTGAATGTTAACTCGTCTCTTATGATAAAAAATTATACAAATTACACTGCACAAAATGTAAATTAAATAAATTAGGTGTACAACGATGACGTACCATTATTAATTATACATATAATTGAAAAATCCGAATTAACGAGAAATACGTGTAACGTTAAATAATATATATTCAACATGCAAGAGGTTNTTTTTTATTGATAAAATGATTATAAAAAATCTTTTTGACCTCAATATGACAATCTACTTCAAAATATTTTAGCAACCACCAAATGAGCCATGGAGGAGAAATACACAAGATATGAGTAATGCACCGTATTATCGTGAGTATAATCAAAAAATTACGTTTTTTTAGCACGAAAAATTTGTTTTTCCTTTATTTAAAGTCAAATATTTTTACTCCCACAGCAAGAAGAAATAACTGGCCACCAGTACCCGAAAGTTGTTGTGTACAACCATGTTTTTACCAAGACATTGATGTTGAAATACAGCCTGACTTTCAGAAAATTGTTCGGCAATTGTATTATTTGTGGATATGTAAGTTCATACCAACATAAAATCCAAATCTAAGTAATATATCAGAACACTTACTAATAATTATGAATTTTATAGTTCATGCTGGAGTATTGTTACTCAATGTAGTTGTTGGTTTCATATTGTTACTGGCTGATGATCGTGAAGATAATTTCACAGTATTTGGACTAGGTCTCGTTTATCTGATACTTTTCACACCGTTTTCATTTCTTTGCTGGTTTAGACCAGTCTACCAAGCCTTCAAGTATGTGAACATGTATATAATATAATTTAAATGTATTTAATATATTTTTACTGATCTTTTTTTTTAGGAATGACAGTTCTTTCAATTTCATGGTATTCTTTTTGATATTCTCCTTCCAAGCTTTTATAACACTTTTCCATTTTATAGGATTTCCTAGTTCCGGAACTTGGTAAGAAGATAATTTGGTGCCTAAGTAAAATATTTTTTATGTTAGATACATTCGTAATTTTTATTTTTCACTTCAGTGGAATTATCAGGGTACTGATGACATTTTCAACAAAACCTAAGGGTTTAATCCTTGGTATCCTTGTGCTGGTCACTGCTGTTGGATTTCTAACTGCAGCAGTTGCAGACATTGTTCTAATAAGCAAGGTATAATATGTATTAAATTTCTACAAAGTCAATTAAAAACACTCAATTCACTTTGATTTATTCACTCATTTTTATTACAAACTGTTCGTAAGAGGGCAATTTGCGTTTAAAAGTTTTATAGTAGCCTATCAAAAAAAGTAAAGTCGATGATACTAGAGCATTGATTTTCACAGGTGCACCGCATTTACCGCAATACCGGAGCTAGTGTATCCAAGGCCCAACAGGAATTTACCTCAAACTTTTTACGTAACGAGCATGTACAAACCGCTACAGCGAACATAGCTGCCTCAGCCGTCCGCAACCAAGTTAACACTATGACGCAGCAACCACGTTACTAAATGATAATCACATGAAGACTTTGACGAGAAAAACAAGCTCAGCGGGAAGAGGTTACTGAAAAATCAACTGAATTGAAATCTGTATTTATTTAAAAAAATTTTTTGTCTTGACAGAGTTTTTTCTCAAGACTGACGGATGATTGTCATAATAAATATCTAACAGCGTCGTATAAGTATTTGTGTGAGTTGACTTTATTTTTGTTTCAGCATGCTATGAAACGTTAAATTTGCAAGTGTTAAGTAAACAAAGTTGACGTACATGAGTGTAAAGCTTATTCTAAGAAAAATGATAAATATGTAGCTAGAAATCGAATAGAAACTTTGCGCTGAGTGATAGAGGATGACTGTAAGTGGGAATTAAAAATTAAGGTTTAATTCAAAACCGCTCTCTTGGTATGTTTCACGCTTTAAGTGTTTTTTATTTTCTATTTAATTTACTGTACTAAAAAATAAGTATCTANTGATACATCATAACAGGGTAACGTGTGAAATGGACGAAGACATCAGATTTTCTGTTATTTAACAAAACTGTAAAACTTATTGTATAAATATTTCGTAACTCTTAGTTTTAGTTAATCCTATGTAATAATTGGATATCATAAATATTTTTTTTGACAAATTCAGGTTTATAATTAATAAATCCGTCCTTTTGAGTACAGTCGTTTTTACTTGCCTATAAATTCAATTTACCCGCGATTGTTGCATCGATGATTGGACAAGGAAAATAAATGCAATGTTAATGGTGTGGAAACAGTGTGACCTCAATCATTGATTTGTGGATTTCGATTAGGCTAATTACATACGTGGCATGTAAAAAGAATTTTATAATTAATTAGTGACGATGTATAACTTTTGCAAAAAAAATATTTCAGTACAAAAAATAGTTTATTAGTGAAATTTACACATGTACATTATACATTCAATGTTTTTTATATCACACTGCCTTGACGAGTTATACATTTTTCTAGTCTAAGGTATTTACAAAAATGCTTTCAAATCATCAGGCAGACCAAGCATTCTGAGTAGCTCTTCTCCTGTAAATAACAGTGTTTTAAAATTAAAAAGGTCATAATACATATGAATATTTTTTGTTAAAATAATATTAATTTTACCTTCATGTTTGTACGTTTTCAGAGGATCATCAGGGAATCTACTGATATCTTTTCCTACTTCGTTAGTTAAGTTAATCAAGTGAGTAGCAAAAATCGCATCCATTAAGAGAACTTCATTCCTGTACATGAGTTTAGCGTGACCTTCGGCCAGCCTGACTAGACTGTCCATTAATCGAACAGTCGTGCGCTCCTCACGCCTTTCAGGCCTCAGTCTGTGAAACTGGTAAGCTGCAACCAATACTTTTTCCGCATTCTTAGTCATAATAGGTCGGAAAGAATGCACATGGGCAATGTACTCGCGCAGAGTTTTTTCATTCCATGGACCGTCGGTTTTCAATAGATTTAAGTCTCCCGTTTCGTTTCTAAAATTATTTTAATGCAATTATTCATGAAGTAACGTCATTTTAGTCAGTAAGTACATACATTTGCCGGCTCGCATTTTCAGGAGCAGAATTGTTAGGTGAAGCATTTTCGTTGGGCTCATTGTCGCAGTCAACTAAATCGATGTTATTTTCTGGGGTTGAACTATTAGGTAGAGAAGTTTTATTGGGTTCATCCTCAAATTCACAAAAATCCTCGACGTTTTCCGAAGCAGAGTTTTTAGGTGGAACATTATCGTTGGGCTCATCCTCAAATTCACAAAAATCCTCGACGTTTTCCGAAGCAGAGTTTTTAGGTGGAACCGTTGGGCTCATCCTTAAATTCACAAAAATCCTCGACGTTTTCCGAAGCAGATTTTTCAAGTGGAAGAGTTTTGTTGGGCTCATCCTCAAATTCAGAAAAATTGTCGACATTATCTGGGGCAGGTCTTTTACATGGAGGAGTTTCGTTGGGTTCATCCTCAAATTCACAAAAATCCTCGACGTTTTCCGAAGCAGATTTTTCAAGTGGAAGAGTTTTGTTGGGCTCATCCTCAAATTCAGAAAAATTGTCGACATTATCTGGGGCAGGTCTTTTACATGGAGGAGTTTCGTTGGGTTCATCCTCAAATTCAGAAAAATCGTCGACATCTTCTGGAGCAGATCTTTTACGTGAAGGAGTTTTGTTGAGCTCACTTTCAAATTCAGAGGGATCAGTGGCATCCTCGAAACGTCTGTGGAACAAAGATTTTTTTTTTAAGTAATCATATATGTAGAATCGTTGTAGTGAGTATATACGTACACTTGTAAATTCTTATTTTTCGTAGCGGGATTGAAAACAGAGTGACTTTTGTTAGCATTTTCGATCATAGAGTAGTCAGTGGTATTTTTTAAACTCCTGTGGGATAACGATTTTTTAAAATGAAAGTAATCATACATTATTAAAGCGTTTGAAACAATAAATAGAAAACTCACAGTTGGCTCTCGTAATTGTTATTAACCATAGCGGCCTGGAGAATGTGATTTGATACAAGCTCATCCCATTGTGGGTCGTGATTATCTCTTAAAAACAATATAATATCAAATCGAGATAGCAACGGTCCACCTAGTCTCATCTTCACTTCTTCACCATCGACGAAGCGGCCGCCAACCGGGTTTATAGCTGCAATGACTGTACACCTCGAATTTAGTGTACTTACAAGACCAGCCTTTGCTATAGATATTGTTTGCTGTTCCATAGCTTCGTGGATCGAGGCCATATCGTTGTTACTCATAGTCGTTAATTCGTCGATGCAACAGACTCCACCGTTTGCTGACACTAAAGCACCAGCCTCCAAGTGCCAACCATCTGAATCCTTAAAATGTTATCAACTCATATAATGAATTTTCCATGTTTTTAATTACAATGAGTAAATATAATTTGCCTTGATCGCTGCAGCCGTAAGACCAGCTGCTGTGGTTCCTACTCCTGTTGTTAAGATTGAACGAGCAGCTAATCTTGCTGCTGTTCTGAGGATTTGAGACTTGCCAGTGCCAGGATCCCCACACAACAGAAGATGTGAATCGCCTCTTACTCGTGTCCCTAAAAGATTAAAATTGTATTGCGTTGTAAAATAAGTTTTGTAGAAATTAATTTTTTTTTACCTGACTTGGTAGTTTTTGACACACCACCACACAAAATTACAGCTAATGCTAGTTTCAAACTGTACATTCCATACAACTGAAAATGAAAAAAAATTTAGTCCAAGTCAGAACTCAAAGAATACTTAAAATTATTTGTTTTAATAAAATATTTTTCTCAAGCTTACTTGTGGACATACTGAAGTAAGAATAAAATCCCTGCCTTCCAAAGGCCTGTCACCATATTTATCCCAAAAATTTCTAAATATTTTTGTCACTTCTTCTTTACAGAAATCAGAATCAGCAACTTTTCTTCTTACCAACAAACTACTAGCTAGTAAAAATGTCGTTGACAAAGGACGTTGACCTACGACCACTTTGTCCCACTTCCTTATTAAAAATCCACATATGTTAACATTATCCCCTGATGTACATTTATCTACCAAATCGTCAAGTAATACCACTGGTAAAGCAGATGTCATTGTACTGCTAACATTAGAAGTCTTATCCTTGAATTGAAATTATTAGAGTGTTAAAAATATATAGATTCAAATACAGTTTATACTTTATTAAACATACTTGGATTTTGATTTCTTGATAATCTGCACAAATTTGTGTCTGCAGAGAAGTCTCGGGGTGTAAGCTTTTTCTTTTACATGCTCCACATTCTCTAGTATCAGGAAATTTTCCTTTCTCCCATTCAAGCTGTGTGATAAAATATATTTGTTAATACATGAAATAAATTTCTACTTTCATTAAAAACATGCGTACCTTCAAGATATTGACATAATTGCATTTTTTGCACAACAAGTGCTTTTCAACTATAGATACAGAAGGTTGAGTAATCCTGACAACAAAACCCGTTACTGAAACAAGTTCTCCAATTTCTGCCTGATCAATGTTCTCAGGTACACCATAGACTCTTGTCCTTATCTTGTCAAAGAATTTTATAATTAATTAGTGACGATGTACGGATAAATCGTAGCTGTTACTTACATTTTTTTTCACTTTTTGCTCAAATTCAGCCAATTGTTCTTGAGCTTCTATCGCGGATTGATCACAAGCTGGCAAACATTGTCTTGGAAGGCGTAATATTTTGAGCGCCGTTTTAGCATCATGCTCAAAAATTATAATAAAGCTTGAAGAGCAGTGATAAATCAGTAAAAATTGATTATAATACATATAATACGGTAAAGAATGTCAATCACGAATAATCAAACGGCTTACTCAACGTTGATGGAGAAAACTCTTGTTTCGTCAGGATCCTTGAGGATTTCTCTAAGTTCATTCTCATGGTATAACAAAAAATATTCCTTCAGCATTTTTCTAAACAAAGCAATTTACAAAGCTGAACAAAATGCATGTAGCACAAACAAGTACACTTAATCGCGGAAGAAACTGAATCACATTGTCGGCGTAACCTGTAGTCTGTGGCAGTGTTTTTTATATCTTTAGCAATGTATGCATTAGATTATCTATATTTATTTATTTATTTATTGTTACATCTGTTTCGACTTCATGGAAATCAAAATTTACAGTCAGATAGAAGATCAAACGAGTCTCAATACTTTGGTGTCCAAAGTGACATTTTTGATAATTTACTTAAGTGAACCCGTAAGTAGATCACGATGAAAATGGCGAGAAATGTCAAAAACCTTAAGTAATAAATTCTGTTAAAATAGCTTGAAAGTTTTTTTAAGCGGAAGATTTATCAAATTTTACCGTTGTTGTGTCCAATGTCCAATTCAAAATTTATATACATGTTTTTTATTTACAATATATCAGTCGATCAAAATTATTGCGCCTTATCGTCGACGATACGACAGGGGCTCTACAATATCTCTGTTGATACATTCAGAGACGGCTATCGCCTGTCGGTATGCCAAATCCACGTTAAAAATTTTTACTACTTTTAATTCGCAAAAAACCGAGAAAATGAATACCGCTAGATGGCACTGACTGTAAAATGAATATAAATTTACAAAATGTGTGTAAATTGTAAATTTATAATCGATTTGTGTGAAATTTCGGGAATTGGAAAAAATAAGCTTTTTTTTTAAATGCAATTAATAGGTTTTATTGAATATTTGGATCATCTTAAACAAAACAATCAAATAATTTTTTTTTTTTTTTTCTCTTAACAACAATCGTTACTTGGTACTGTGTGAATTAACCGAGAGCGCAGCGTCCCTTGTTCTCCCTCAAAAATTGTTCCTGCAACAAAAAAAAAATGAAACATTAGGTACGTTGGATTACAACTGACAGCCATATGATGTATCAAAACTCGATAATTTACCGCGCATTTGATTGCTGCTTTCAGACCTCCGGAACCTTGACATCTCTCGGTTCCTTCTTTTACACACTTCGCAGCCATCCTTGCCAACACCTTCCCGATGGCTCTGGCTATCAGTGCAGCCTAAATCGATAGAAATATATAGTTTTCATCATTACAACGCAAAATCATTTTCTTGCGTCGTTATTATTATATATAAAAAGATTTTTACTGGAAATACAAAATTTACTCATTTTTAATTAAATGTATCGATTATGGTATTACATTTCTTTCCTCGAGTTCGTCAAATTCATGGTCACTGGCCGCGTCCTCTTCAGCCGCTACGGATTCAAAGTTCATGGCAGCAACGAAGAACACAAACAGTCCCAGGAGGACGAAACAGCGGGGCACCATGTTGAGATGTAGTTGTTTTAGCGAAGCGAAGCTTGAGGGTGAGACTGCACTTGACTGATGACTTTTTTGCAAAATTCAGCGGTACTTATAGTCAGAGGAACCGATTTTTTGAGGAAAAAAAACAAACGCATGGTCCTGCACGAGCAACTGTATCAATACACGGCACGTGGATCTCGAAAATGTAATTGAGGAAAAGCTTTTACATGCCACGTATGTAATTAGCCTAATCGAAATCCACAAATCAATGATTGAGGTCACACTGTTTCCACACCATTAACATTGCATTTATTTTCCTTGTCCAATCATCGATGCAACAATCGCGGGTAAATTGAATTTATAGGCAAGTAAAAACGACTGTACTCAAAAGGACGGATTTATTAATTATAAACCTGAATTTGTCAAAAAAAATATTTATGATATCCAATTATTACATAGGATTAACTAAAACTAAGAGTTACGAAATATTTATACAATAAGTTTTACAGTTTTGTTAAATAACAGAAAATCTGATGTCTTCGTCCATTTCACACGTTACCCTGTTATGATGTATCAATCACACGTCAGCCCGTAGTTCGGCTTACGATATGTGATTATGAAATTTTGATATTTTTTCCTACCTCGAGCCATTTTGAGAGGCTGGTTTGCCCTCGGCGGGGAAAATAGCATTTGCCACTTAAGCGGCATCGCCCAGTGGCTACCTTACGTCTCTCGGGCCGCAAAATAGCCCCGCAGAGACGATGGAACTTATCCAATGAAAACTACTATTTACTAATATGAGTACTTGACAATTTTTGAATCATTGTCATTACAGAATTTTCTCTTATTGCTATGAAGCTTGGATCATTTAAATCTGCTCAACATTTTTCAATCGACAAGGAAAATAAATGCAATGTTAATGGTGTGGAAACAGTGTGACCTCAATCATTGATTTGTGGATTTCGATTAGGCTAATTACATACGTGGCATGTAAAAGCTTTTCCTCAATTACATTTTCGAGATCCACGTGCCGTGTATTGATACAGTTGCTCGTGCAGGACCATGCGTTTGTTTTTTTTCCTCAAAAAATCGGTTCCTCTGACTATAAGTACCGCTGAATTTTGCAAAAAAGTCATCAGTCAAGTGCAGTCTCACCCTCAAGCTTCGCTTCGCTAAAACAACTACATCTCAACATGGTGCCCCGCTGTTTCGTCCTCCTGGGACTGTTTGTGTTCTTCGTTGCTGCCATGAACTTTGAATCCGTAGCGGCTGAAGAGGACGCGGCCAGTGACCATGAATTTGACGAACTCGAGGAAAGAAATGTAATACCATAATCGATACATTTAATTAAAAATGAGTAAATTTTGTATTTCCAGTAAAAATCTTTTTATATATAATAATAACGACGCAACAAAATGATTTTGCGTTGTAATGATGAAAACTATATATTTCTATCGATTTAGGCTGCACTGATAGCCAGAGCCATCGGGAAGGTGTTGGCAAGGATGGCTGCGAAGTGTGTAAAAGAAGGAACCGAGAGATGTCAAGGTTCCGGAGGTCTGAAAGCAGCAATCAAATGCGCGGTAAATTATCGAGTTTTGATACATCATATGGCTGTCAGTTGTAATCCAACGTACCTAATGTTTCATTTTTTTTTTGTTGCAGGAACAATTTTTGAGGGAGAACAAGGGACGCTGCGCTCTCGGTTAATTCACACAGTACCAAGTAACGATTGTTGTTAAGAGAAAAAAAAAAAAAAAAATTATTTGATTGTATTGTTTAAGATGATCCAAATATTCAATAAAACCTATTAATTGCATTTAAAAAAAAAGCTTATTTTTTCCAATTCCCGAAATTTCACACAAATCGATTATAAATTTACAATTTACACACATTTTGTAAATTTATATTCATTTTACAGTCAGTGCCATCTAGCGGTATTCATTTTCTCGGTTTTTTGCGAATTAAAAGTAGTAAAAATTTTTAACGTGGATTTGGCATACCGACAGGCGATAGCCGTCTCTGAATGTATCAACAGAGATATTGTAGAGCCCCTGTCGTATCGTCGACGATAAGGCGCAATAATTTTGATCGACTGATA